TGCTTCCAAAACCAATACGGGAACAGGGATCGGAGTGTTTGGGCCGAGAGCTAATTACTCCGAATCAATGGGCACTTACCCTAGTATCCTACAGGCAGAAATCTACGCTATCGAGAGATGCGTACAACTTATCTTAGATAGGAACTATCGGAAACAAGAAATAGCCATCTTATCTGATAGTCAAGCAGCGTTAAAGGCGATCAACTCAGTATCAATCAATTCGAAATTGGTCAAAGAATGCATAGAGAAGCTGAATAAATTAGGCAAAGAAAACAAAGTCCTCCTACACTGGGTGCCTGCTCACCAAGGGATAGAAGGCAATGAAAAAGCAAATATTCTAGCTAGGAAAGGAGCGAACACTCCACTAACTGGACCAGAACCGTTCTGCTTTCCAAGTGGTAACCAACTCAAGGCGGAACTCAAGAACTTGGAAGATTCAATCCGCAACCTGGAATGGAAATCTTGCAATGGTCTAAGACCCTCGAAGAAGTTTCTGAGGGCTTATGATCAAGAAAAATCACAGATCTTCCTGGGTCTGAATAAGAACAATCTTCGGATTGTCACGGGGTTTTTAACAGGACACTGTCTCCTCAATGAACACCTCAGTAGATTGAAACTAAGAAGAAACGGCGAATTCAGATTCTGTGGGGAAGATAGGGAAACACCAGTACACCTCATCACTGAGTGTGCCGAGACGACAACCATTCGTGCCATGAATTTTGGTACGACTGATATTAGAGATGGAGAACTACCCTCTATAAAACCGTCCCAGATACTGGCTTTTGTCAAAGCCCTGGGACTGTATGATGAGTTATGATTCAAGAAAGGGGGACACAATGGATCTGTAAGGTCGAAGTGATTAACCCCCCTCCCACTCATTCTAAATTCTAAATTCTACAATAAAAAAAAAGTTTATATCAATACCCGATCGAACGTTTATAACAATAAAACAATTATTGATGTTAGCATATTATAACATATTATAGCAGCCAACACTCTGTATAGTATTAATAATAAAAACCTATTTGTGGCCCAAGTCTAGCTTGACTGTTTTTCTTCGATTTAGAGACCTTGATCTTGAACTTGAAATAAAGAGGCTATAAACCTTTCAAGGATTCATTTCTACCATGACTTGTAAGAGACGAAATAATATACTAATCACAAAAACTTTTTCTTATTAAAAAAAATACGTTAATTCGATTTTTAAATGAGCAGTACTTCCGTACTTCCTCTCACCTCATTAGAAACATGCATTCCCGCAGCTTCCTCGTAGTCGTGGATGTCATGGTCGAGCTCCACCCTTCCAAAATCATTTAAAATGCCCAGAACACGCTTGATTCTCATATTTCCTGGTTAGTTAAGAGTGTAAAAACTGTTAGAAACAAGACTTGCAAGACCTTCGATCTGTACACACGCACTTATGAGACTGGTTTGGTAATGGCTTGTTTCTAACAATTTATCGCAGCGAATTACGTGTTACATTACTTCGTTAAGCTGTATTAATGGGGCTCAATCAATTTAAATCGATCTAATACTATTGAGGAATGTCGGTTTTACGAATAAATATCGATTTATGTCAAGTTATCGATATCGCAAAAACTATATACAGCAGCACTAGAAGAAATCTTCCGTCAACTAGACAAGAGAACCAACAAAAGATTGAAAATAGATGGATATAGTCTGTAAAACGAATAACTTTGAATTTGACAGTTCCCGCGGGCTTTTCTAGTGTTAATTTTATTAGGTTAGCAACTTGCGGCTTGCGGCCATGCTGACGCAATGCCGTCTCTAATAGAACAGCCTAGGAACGAGATTTATGACGTCACACTAGTTAGATACTACAGATTAATAACTATGTTGTAGAATACATGGAAAACATAATTATTCCTCGATTTGTTGGTTTGTATTTTAAAAATGATATAGTTTACATGAAATATACATAATATACAGTTAATAAATACAATATAATATATACCTATTTATTGTAATAAATACTTTGGCTAATAAACATGAACCATACAAATGCAGCAAATGTTTTACAATATACAAATAATGAATAGGTGGTATATATATATATATATATATATATATATATATATACCTATTTATATTAATAAATACTTTGGCAGATAAACTATGAACCATACAAATGCAGCAAATGTTTTACAATATGACTGAAATCGTACTCCATAGTCAATGTAGATAGTTTTTGTGTTAAGAATAATAATTTAAAAAAATATGTGGTCATCTTTTGACAAATTTATATTAGTTTATTAATTGCAGTAAATATTATAATATATAAATAAATTTTGTGAATGCAAATAATAATACATCACTATTAGTAGATATTGAATGTTTTTTGTTAAATTAGATTGATTTTCGAACCCCAAAATTTAAAATATATTTTACATTTTACCCATTATCTTATGTACCACCTATTCATTATTTTTATATTGTAAAACATTTGCTGCATTTGTATGGTTCATGTTTATTAGCCAAAGTATTTATTACAATAAATCGGTATATATTATATTGTATTTATTAACTGTATATTATGTATATTTCATGTAAACTATATCATTTTTAAAATACAAACCAAAAATACGAGGAATAATTATGTTTCCCATGTATTCTCCAACATATTTATTAATCCGTATTATCTAACTAGCGTGACGTCATAAATCTCGCCTCGTGGCTGTTCTAATAGAGACGGCATTGGTCTAATATTTAGAAATGTCAAAAGCTGATGACATTTTACTTTTGTCAATTATGACATTTCGTGTTGATTTTTGCAAGAAGAGGAAGAATTGTCACTTGTTTTATTATTTTCCTTTTCTATTTCACGAAAGTAAAAAGAGTTACCTATCTGATTCGTTCAGGCTAGTTCAGGCACTCAATTTAAAGAATATCAGTAACTTTTTTGACAGAGGGATTTTATATTTGCCATGTTGGTAAAAAATAACGGTCAAAATTCAAAGTTATTCATTTTATAGACTATAATAAGAGTCTATTACGCTGTACTTTCGGGTCGCTCTCGGTCGGGTAAAGCGGGTGTGTGACCGAAGGAAATATATATTATATTTCAGAAATCTGCCTGAAAAGGCTTAGCCCGATCCTGTCGTGTTAAGCCACACCCAAAATTCCAAACACACTTGCTCTGATTAAGGTTTGCAGAGCTTCAGCATTTTCCATAAAATAGCGAGCAATTTGTTACAAAACCATATAAATTATATATCGCTGTAATCACAAAACTTCAATCTATTTCCGTATTGTAACGGAATTTTAAATTATGTCTTTATTTTCGAGAAAATTTAGTCCAAACATCAGAAATATTTTGTTGATGTTTGACCATCAAAATCTTAAAAATAAAGAAGTTGACTAAAAATGTGCTACAATACGGATATAGTATAATCATTTATCTTTAATTTCCTTCTTTATTTGTGTAAAAATACCTAGCCAGTTTTACATAAAACGTTAAATACCGAACGCTTATTTTGCTACTTTTTCGGATTAGTAAAATGGAATATCGATTTTTTTCAAAACATCGGGACTTTTAAACCTCCCTAATGCCAATGGGGTAAAATTATCGTATTTCTAAGATTTTACAGCAATTAACAGGTCCCGAACTTGCTTATCGAATAGCCTGATACTTGTTAAATTAGTTTTTGATAACTACAGACAGAAAATCATATTTTAAAAAAATAATAAATTGATTAATTAGCAACAAGATAAAGATAGACAAAATAAAATATGTCATGTATTAATTTGATTTTTATATAAGCTGAGACTCACGAGTCACAGAAAGTAAAATTCCACTGGATTGTCAACTGTTAATACAAGTTTTTTCTGTATTTTTTATCTAAAAGTGACCTGTACCCTGACCCCAGCGATATAGTCTGTGAAAGTACCTCTACACTCCATAGTGAAACGAATAACTTTGAATTTGACAGTTCCCACGGGCTTTTCTAGTGTTAATTTTATTAGGTTAGCAACTTGCGACCATGCTGACGCAATGCCGTTAACAATAAAAAAAAATTGTTTAGAAAATTATTCATAAAAATATTTATTAATAATAATGCTATGCAGTAAAATCCAATTGGTTTGTGGCGTCTCAATAAAAATCCACTTTGGTTTACTGCCACTGTGTTTTTTTCTGGGAACTACCATGTAAATTACCCATTTTTTACATAATCAAATAGAAGTGACACATATTATGTATGCACCGAATCTTTAGAGAAATAAGTAAACATAGATAATATATCAACAACAAAATTCAACGTGTCGCGGAAGATTTCAACAGAAGACAATGACAGAAAATATAATTTACCTCTGAACAAAAAAGACAGACATAACTGTCACTGTCACGAATGCTCTCGATTATACAGGGTGAGTCTTGAATAACTGCAAATATTGAGTGGTATATTTCGACATTTTCTTGTATATTTTATAAAACTTTTATTTAAAAACACAAAACTGTTAACAAAAAGTTTGGTTAGATTAGAAATTGACAGATTCGGATGACGTTGTCAAATCGAAATTTTCGTGTATATTTGGTTGCATAAATTTCCATCATATTTTGTCAAAGTCGGAGAAAGTAAGGTTAATTTTCATATTTTGTAATATATATTTTTCCAAGATGTTTATAACAAATATTTTATTAAAACGAGTGAAAAGCAAGTAAGTTTCGCACACCTTTTTAAGTAAGTTAATAATTCTGGGCTTTGTTGCTTTGTTTTTTAGAGATATTATGGTCCAAATGGAAAGCTTGATAACTGGCCACAAATTTAACACAATCAGACCAAGATTAGCAGAGAAATTGGAGTTAGTGAAGTTTGATCCTTGGCGTAAGTATTTAGCTTTATAGTAAACAGTTCTTTTTATTAATTTTCTGTATTTCAGTTCAAAAAGAATCAGTTTATAGAGAAAAGAAGAAAGTACGCAGCATGTAAAAATCTATTTGTTGTAGTATATTGTTTGAGATAAATGTAAGAACAGACAGATTTAAGTTAATAAATATATATTTAAATTATTAAATTGGACAATATTTAATACTGTAAAAGCTAACAATAATTGCAACGGTTCCTAAATTTACATATATAGAATAAGAATACTTGTAAAGCCCCGAAATCTTACGAATAGAAACGTGTAAAAACAAGACACTTGCGGCCTAAACACAGTGTATCTCCTAAAACGTTAATAATGCTATCCATGAAGCCCAGCTTCACAAACAAAATGAGTTTAATCATTTTCTATCAGCCGGTCTTGTATAGGGCTTTCCCCCATTTTTCTCCCACTCCTTGTTGAACTCCGTCTCCAGAATTTCGGCACCTCTTTTTCTAGTCAACCCTGTTTCTTCCAGAGACAGTTCGCACATCTGCATATCATCCTTTCCTAATAACAAAAAAATATATATAGAAAAAACAGGTTAGAAAGTCTAATAAAATACAAACCGGCAACAAGCAGGATAGCTTGTTTATCGGGATGCAGTTCCATCTGCCTCGCCACGTACTGTCCATCGAAATGAGCGTACCACCAGCCCCTTTTGTTAGGATCACCTCCGGGTCGTTGAAATGGGATTTTAAAGTAACGCTGAGAGCTGTGATCCAGGACGGCTTTTTGGGGCAACCTCGGAGTCTTTTGGGCGGATTCCAGCACCGAGCGTGGGGCTCTCTCATTTTCGTCCATTACAGTACGCTTCTTGTTCTTTGCCTTCCATGCGTGGTACACCTTGAGTCTATATTTTCAAATTTAGAGGTTGTTTACAAGCATTTTCTTTTAAAAAATGTCTATATCTACATATGTGGCGGATTTGTCTCTCCAAAAAAAATCCCATATGAGTATTTCGCCACATCGCCAAGCATTTTTTTGTTCGTTAGGCAAATTTATTTATGTTTACAAAAAATAACTAGTAACACTCACCGGAAAAGTCTAGGGATATTACAATTTTATCCAGCCATCGTCAGTAATTTTATTTTTTTGCATTTCTGATATACTGAAATTAAAATAAACAAATAGTTTACAGGACGTATTGGAAATAAAAATGCGAAATTTACCGATTTTTTAAAATTTGCCTTGATTTTTATTGAACTCAAAAAAATACACACATTTTTTTTAATTCTAAACTGAATTAAAAAAAAATATAAAACAATTTTTACTTAATAAAGGGTATGGCCTCCCGCCTCCTCTACTGTTCATTACAGCCCTACATCGTCCCTCCATGCTCCTGATCAGGTTGTCGATCTCTTCTTGAGGTACAGCTTGCCACGCTGCATTCACGGCCCGAACCAGATCCCTACGAGTTTCACGAGGCATACCCTTTCTCAAAATTCTTCTTTGGACCGCGTTCCATACGTGCTCGATGGGGTTGAGGTCAGGAGATTGTGCCGGCCAGGGTAAGATGTTTAATTGATGAGCATTGATAAACTCACTTACCACTCTGGCTGTATGAGGCCGTGCATTGTCATGCATGAGAATGAAGTTTCTCCCAAAATCATTGGCATATGGTAACACGACAGGCTCAAGAATTAAATGACGATATGTTTTTCCTGTTAGAAACCTTTCAAGAAAAATGAGATCAGTTTTTCGGCCTAACTGGACTCCTCCCCAGACCATAACTGTTCCACCTTGATAAGGGTGCACTTCCTGAACATGATCCAACCAAATAAGATTTCCTGGTTCTCTCCATACCCTAAGCCTTCTCGAATCCGGATGAATTCCAAAGCGTGACTCATCCGTGAAGAGAACATTGGCCCATTGTTTATTCGACCACTGAACATGATCTTGAGCCCACAAATATCGTACCTCTCGATTTCCTCTCGTTAAGGGTTGAGCTCTCCAGGGGTGTCTGCTTCTTAAGTTGACCTCTCTTAATCTATTGCGAACAGTGTCAGGACTAACGTTTACATTATGTGTTACCTGGAGAATCAAACTAAAAGCTCTGGTGCTGTAAGAGTCGGTCGGCGTCGAGCATTTAATTGTAAAAAATGATCTTGCTGAGGGGTAGTAATGCGATGTCGCCCTGTGTGCCTTTCAACAACATCACCACTTTCACGGTAGCGTGCACTTAATCGCGATATTACACTTTGCGTTGTATTTAATGCTCTAGCTACGTCGATTTGGCGCATTCCAGCTTCGAGCATACCCATGGCCCTTAGCATTTCGTCTCTGTTAAGGTGTCTACGCTCCATAATGTTTAATACTAAACAAAGTTATTTGAATGAATTCTGGTCAGTTATCATAAAACATAGCCAGTACAGGTTAAATTCGAACAATTGATGCTAGGTGCTTTTTATACATTTGAGAAAAAATGCACAAACACTTCTAAAAATATCCCAAATTTAGAAATAACTAGTGTGACTACTTCGTTTCAATCGAAGTAGAAAGAATCGGCCTACAAATATATGGTTGTTTATTCAAAACATTTATTTTTAACTCGATAATAAAATGATATCCCTATATTTTTCCGGTGTGTGTAGATTTTTTTGCAGTGGCGAAATAACCATATAGGATTTTTTTTGGAAGATTTTCTTTTAAGTCTGGCTATAGTTGGAACTTACCTACGATGGAATTCATGTCTACATGCTTCCAAAAGTTCGATGTCGCAAGAAGTGTTAATCGTGTCTCGTAGTTCCGAGTACTTCCATTTGGACAGGTCGTACTTTCCTTTGGCTTGACTAGCTTGCTGCGCTCTGATAGCATCGGATCTTGATTTTTTTATTAAAATTATTAGTAGAAAGAAAAAATATTATGCGTTTGGCTGTTGTAAGTAGCTATGAATGTTACTTATGGTACCTTTGAACTATTGCTGACTAAGGGTTAGTAAATATAAGAAATATGATGTTATTTAGACCATGTACCGTATGATCGAAAAAAAAACACAATCAAACACGGCTGGAAAATGACAATCGACGATACTTTTGGCGATAAATAATATTTATAATTGATTTTTTTAATTTTGAACTACACTATTTAAAAATCTTTTTACTCAATATAAAAATAAATCTTAAGGTATTTTGCCGGTTACAACGCGTATTTATGTAATTTATATTGGTTAGGTCACCGAGTAAAGATGGTCTCTAGTTAGTACATGGTCTAAGGTTTGATTCTAAAAAAAGGTTATTTGAACTACTTCTACTTCAAATTAAACCAAAAGGGAATTTACCACAAAAATTATCAAATTGTTTGCAAAAAGCACTGATTAGAAAGACTAAAGAAGGATCCTACTCTAATTTAACTCCTGACACTCTGTCTTTCCAAATTCGTTCGTTTTGATAAAACCAATTATAGATCGAAAAAAAAACGGCGTCCAGTTGACGGGTACACGCTAGTTTACATATAAAATGACAGCGATCTTCATTTCTTAGCCATCGTTGACGCCGTTTTTATTTTCGATCATACGGTATTAGACTCCTTCCTTAGGCCTTTTATTCAATTCAAATGCAAAAAAGGCTCTAAAATTTTCTAATACAAAATCATACAAATTCTATTAATTTTGCCCTCAGGTGACGTGTTTTATGTTGGCCACGAGACACTGTCTAAAAAACTTTTCTAGTTAGAACATGGTCTAAGGTTTGATCACAAAAAACAAGTTTTTATACCGTGAAAACGACATACTCACAAACAGATTTTAGTAGTGACTACAAAAGCAAAGCTCCGAAATATACGGGGTTAGTTTAAAATAAAAAAAAACAGACAATAAAGTGTGCGCAATGTACCTGTTGAGTTTGAAGGAGGCGCGTTCAGAATCAGTCCCGTTGAGTCCACTGCGGTGTCATGGAAAACAAGAAGCATAGACATATTTTGACATTTTTAGATAGAGACTGCCACCCCTATTTTACAATATTTACAGTATAAAGTGACCGAAAACGTAGAGTTTTAGGTTCTTAACACATTCTTTTACATGATATTGATCCCAGAGAAATAAGTAACTTGGAGAAACCAGTAAAAGTAGAGGAAATGTCAGTTGAACACAAATTTATAAAATGTATAACACACATTTAAAGTAAAAAACTCAATTTTAAGTGTATTTTCTTCCTTGTTGATGTGGCAATACAGGGCGTAGAATAAGTTGTGACATACATCTTAGGGAGTCTCTATGTTTACTTATTTCACTGAGACAATAACAAAATATAGCACAAAAAACATCAATTTAGACAAATTGAAGAAATATTTGACATATAACATTAAAATTAGTGTGTTCAGAGATATTGATATTGACCACTTTTATTTTTTTAGATTTATTCTTGATACAAGTATGAAATAAAATACTGATATTTTAAATAGATTATTAGCTAGATTGTTAAGATACAGAGAGACTTATAACAAATTGTAAGTGTTGGGTTCGTTGAAGGACTATTAGAGCTACAATTTAAAAATATTTTTACAAGATAAAGAGTGTCCCAAATAAATAAAAAATATCAAAGTTGTATTTTTTTAAATGGAACACCCTGTATATTATTACATTTTTAGTTTCTATGATTAAAATAAAGGTAAATTGGATTAAGGTTTATCGCCCTTAAACCTTACCGTTTTTGAAATATTTTCAATTTTGTGAAATTGCAGTAAAAATTTTAAGCCTTCATTTCTCCAAGGGTATCGAAGTTTTTAATACTAAATATTTACTGAAGTTTAATTATTGATCAGTTATTGTGTTGCAATAATAAAAATAATACTACCTCATACAGAGCGTCTAAAAATTTATTTTAAATAATTTCTAGCTTTAAACGACAATAATTTGTTTAATTTAAACAGAACACCCTGTATATTTTAGGAGAATCAGATGCAAAATTTAGTTGTCCATCAAATTGTATTATACCATTTTTACCTATCCCTTCAAGTTTTCGTAGAAAATGCATTTTCTTATAATTTAGACCCCATTTATCAGTATACCTATGGAATATTGACATTTTAGATTGTTTTTAAAATAACAAATGTACAGGTGCTCAAAAAGATAACATTTTTTTTTCAAAATGTGACCAATTTTTTGGTATTTATTTACTCTGAATATTATTGAAAGTTTAATAATTATAAATGGCTAATTATTGTGCTTATAAAACGTCAAATACAAGGTAAATACTCACTTTCTCACAAGGGGAGGGCTCTCTTCGAGCTGTCCATTGCTCTCTTGCGCGAGTCTAAGTGCCAACTCCCTGTCCTGGCGTTCCTGTTCCAATTGTTCCTGGTACTGCCGTTCTTCCTGTTCCATTTTTTCCTGCTGTTGCTGCAGTTCTTGTGCCAGTCTCCTATCTGCCTGTTCCTAAAGCAAAATCAAGTCCAAATACAGGGTGGTTCAAGAAACATGAGCCATCTCCAGTGGGGAGATTCCTCACGTAAAAATAAGGTCGTATCTTAGCTACAGGGGGTTAAGGTCTTCATTTTTTTTTTTCGATTTATTGCAATTTGAATGAAATTTTAAGGGTAAAAGCACAGAATATCTAGCTACGCAACAGAAGCCTCGTTACATGTATAAAATTGTAGGTAGCAAAAGGAGACAGGCTTTTAAAGTATGTGTATATTTTAAAATGTAGTGTATATTAAAAATGTATATGTTTTGTAATAATATACTTAAAACTATTTTAATAGCCAAAGGAATAATTAATATAAGTGTATCTGACAAGAAAAGAAGAATAGAAAGAAACACATACTGCATTATACACAATAAAAGAATGGGATGCCAATTCAAGTCTTTTGAATCTGGCAACTGTGCATATTTAGCCGAGCTATAAGGCCGTCGACGAGCCGTCGATCCAAAACCGAAAGTTCAAAATTTCTAATTATATTCTGATTATGATATTGTCGCGCCATCTAGTATTCTATCTGTGCAATTTTAGCTCTTTCATTTCGAGTATTTTTCTGTTGCGTAGCTAGATATTCGGTGCTCATGATTAAGCCGCCACTGAAAATTATTAAAAAAAGACTGTGCTGCAAACCTGTTTAAGTCTGGCTTCTTCTTCAATCTTCCTCTTTGCCTCGATCTCAGCTTTTTTCTTTCTATTTTCTTCCTCTTCTCGCAGTTTACGTTCTTCTTCCTGTTTCTTCTTGTTTTCCCGTTCCATTTCTTCCTGGATCTTGCGCAGTCTATCCTGTTCCTCCCTGATCTTCTGTTCTTGGACTTTCTTCTCTAACGAACCCATTTGCTGGTTGATTTTCGCGACCAGGTTGTTGTAGAGGGATTCGACAGTCTTGACATCGATTTTGTCGTCTTTCTGTAAAGTAAAACTAGTTATTTTCGATGATTCTCGTCGAAAAATGAGGTTAGATTGACCTTGATCTTGTCAATAGCTGCGGAAACCTCGGATTTTAGTTGGTTGATACCGTTGGTGGATAGATCTTTGTCCTTTTTCAATTGGTGGGCTATTCCTTCCAGTTTTTTCAAGTTCGCGTCCAAGGCTCTGATGTTTTTGATGGTTTTTATTCTGGCGCCGTACTTTTTCTTTACTAGATACCCTCTGATATTTTTCTGGAGCAAAACCAACGCTTTGCGGCGATACAAAATTTTATTTTTCACTGGAACACAGACAAAATATACATTAACAAAATATTTCTCATTAAACTTCTACCACGAACGTTATAAATTCGTCTGTTTAAATTGTTTCTCTCATTTTTTTATTACCGACTATTTTTTATACAGTCGCAGTTTTATGGAACATTGGAACTACTAAGTTTTTTGAATTATCGAGTCTACACTGCTCTACTAAAAAAATAGATGGGTAATTAAAGATTTATTTACGTTTTTTAAAGTTATTTAACAATTTTAACAAAATACAGGGCGTTTTAAAAAACATGTGCCATCTCTTGAGGGGAGATTCCTCACGTAAAAATTCTGCGTGATTTAAGTGTGATTTTTGTTATAGCGCTTACTTTTGATCACGGTGAGCGCGCAGAACTGCGCCTTGATCCACCGCGACTTCACCAGCCACTTCTTCACGTGAGCCACGATGCTCTTCAAACTTTCCGGATCAGACTTCATAATTTTATCAAACTCCGCGAATTTTCCAGGCCTGAAAAACACCCTGGTAATGCCGAACTTGAAATCCTTGTCTTGTAGCCTGAGGCTGTGCAACATCGCCTCGCAAAACGTCTTTGGAGGCAACTGCTTCAATTCTTTGGGCAGGTAATCTTTGTACATGGAGTGAAGGTCTGTGAACGGTGTTCTGCTTGGGAACCCGTGTTCCATCAGTTCCAGAACCGACGTCATTCCGGAACAGGTGAGTTGCATCAAGCTCAGACTTCCTTCGAACTGGAGGTCGACCATTTTGTTGTTGGGTTTGATGCAACGGATGAAATTGGTACCCTAAAGTAAAAAACAATAGAATCCTATTTGTTGGAGACATTTTGGGACGCCCTGTGTATGATATAGGGTTACAAAAAATCCTAGATCATATTTATACTTGCGTGGATAAATCAACGCCATAAGTTTAGCATTAAACAATATGTCTCCAACATCATGACATGCCATTTTCAAACTTTCTTTATTGCACTTATGAAACGTTCAATAGGTTTGTCTTTCTCGAGTACCTTACTTTGCGCATGCGCATTAAAAGTTGCACGTATTTCCAAAATAATCACAATTTTATATGGTTTAGAATAGAAAGTACAAATCAGAGGTATAGTCTGTAAAACGAATAACTTTGAATTTGACAGTTCCCGCGGGCTTTTCTAGTGTTAATTTTATTAGGTTAGCAACTTGCGGCCATGCTGACGCAATGCCGTCTCTAATAGAACAGCCTAGGAACGAGATTTATGACGTCACACTAGTTAGATACTACAGATTAATAACTATGTTGTATATTTGTTCAATTCATATATATATATAATATATATAAAATATTTATATTAATAAATACTTTGGCAGATAAACTATGAACCATACAAATGCAGCAAATGTTTTACAATATGACTGAAATCGTACTCCATAGTTAATGTAGATAGTTTTTGTGTTAAAAATAATAATTTAAAAAAATATGTGGTCATCTTTTGACAAGTGTATATTAGTTTATTAATTGCAGTAAACATTATAATATATAAATAAATTTTGTGAATGCAAATAATAATACATCACTATTAGTAGATATTGAATGATTTTTGTTAAATTAGATCGATTTTCGAACCCCAAAATTTAAAATATATTTTACATTTTACCCATTATCTTATGTACCACCTATTCATTATTTGTATATTGAAAAAACATTTGCTGCATTTGTATGGTTCATGTTTATTAGCCAAAGTATTTATTACAATAAATAGGTATATATTATATTGTATTTATTAACTGTATATTATGTATATTTCATGTAAACTATATCATTTTTAAAATACAAACCAAAAATACGAGGAATAATTATGTTTCCATGTTTCTCCAACATATTTAATAATCCGTATTATCTAACTAGCGTGACGTAATAAATCTCGCTCCGTGGCTGTTCTAATAGAGACGGCATTGGTCTAATATTTAGAAATGTCAAAAGCTGATGACATTTTACTTTTGTCAATTATGACATTTCGTGTTGATTTTTGCAAGAAGAGGAAGAATTGTCACCTGTTTTATTATTTTCCTTTTCTATTTCACGAAAGTAAAAAGAGTTACCTATCTGATTCGTTCAGGCTAGTTCAGGCACTCAATTTAAAGAATATCAGTAACTTTTTTGACAGAGGGATTTTATATTTGCCATGTTGGTAAAAAATAACGGTCAAAATTCAAAGTTATTTATTTTATAGACTATACAAATTATCTAGGCAAATTATACATTGTTGTGGAAACCCAATTTTCATATGATTTTCATTGTCATCATATTGTCATAATCTTATTTCCATTGTGTAACGACGCTTGTTTTTTACGTTTTTTAATTTAAAAATTGTATTAATTACTATTTTATCGACCGCTTTTATACAGCCAAGGATGCAAGTGTGTTCAGTGAGAAGTTAATTTTAAGTTTGTGAAATTATATTTGTTTTTTTTTCGTCGGACTTTGTAAATACTCTTCTAATATAAAGGTCCCCGAATTATCTTTTCATAGGCAAGTAAAGTATTCAGTTGTTCTTTTATTTATATTAAGCCACATGCATACTTTCTGGTTAGATTTCCTAAGAATATTGATATTCGTACGGAGTGGCTAAATATATTTTTTATATAATTGAATTTTTGTGACATTCAATTTATTGTTCAAATATAAGCATTTTACAAATTAAATTTTTCAAAATTAATGTTCAAATTTGGCGCGTGGACTAGGTCCTCGACAAAGATAGATAGAGGCACCGCGTGTGCAACAAAAAAAGAAGATAAATGGAAATCGTTGATAAGTTTGCGACAGTTCCCATAGTGATTTACTTATCCACGTAAGTATCTATGATCTAGGAAAAAAATATGATAAAAACGTACGTTACTTCTCAGCTTCTCCATCAGTTCTTGTAGCTGGCTTTTGAACTTGCTTCCCACACTGATGAAGGTGAGTTTACCTTTCTGCGCCATTGAAGTGGAGAATAAATTTTGTATAAGCTTGTTCCGGCTTTCTTGTATAATTCCTTCAAGAGAAGCGTGTAAAGCATCGTTGTTCTTGTCTATAAATTGTTTCTAGAAGATTCAAAATAGGCAGGTTTAGATTTAGAACATTCGTAGGAAATATTACTGTAATTATGCAACCAAACATATGCCGAATCCTAAGGGAGAGAACATTAGGACCCGGTGTATTGTTAGTTGCATACTTTTTGCCGATATTACAGTACTTACTGTCTGATAACAAACTGCCCCGGCAAAATGTCTGACTAGAAACCCTTCATCGTCTCTAATACTGCGATGGGCTTTGAGTTTGGACGATCTAGGTAATCCTAACCTAAAAAAAATCTCAAATTTCAAAAATTTCCCAAAATTGGCCTGTTTAAAACAAACCTATAGCTTTTCCCCCATTGTTTATGTACTTCTTCAGTGAAATGAGTGTAGGCCGGCTTAGGTAGTTTAGATTCCTCGTCTAATAGGGTAAAAATACCCTGACTTTTCGCTTCAATGACGTCAATACAGTCCTGGTTATCTGTGAATTTGATTTCAGGCACACTGAGACCTTCTCTCTTATACAGTTCTTGTTCGAATTTCAAAATGCGTTCGTTGAAGAACTGTTGAAGTTTTTCGTTACAGTAGTTGATGCAGAATTGTTCAAAACTGTTCACAGTGAAGAATTCTAGAAAATATATATTTTTTAAATTGAGAAAAATGTTAAAAAAGCTGTTTTTCTTTTACCAAAGCCTGCAATATCGAGGACACCAATATAGTAACTAGAAGTTTGAAATGGAATGCTCTGGTTGATTCTACTGACTATGTAATCAAACAAATTGCTGTAAACAGCTTTTGCTAAGGCATCTCTGGCGTTGTTTGCTTCGTGGATTTTTAGAGGAACCCTGGGAAATATGGAAATAAGTATACATAATACTCATAGCATATTTTTCTTACATTATGACAGTTCCTTTGAGTCCCCCTCTAGCACTCTGCATAACTCTGGAAACCAAAGCTTGTTTCAACTCATCAGCTTCGATTTCCAACAATTTCGAAGCAATAAGCAACGATTTTTCGCCGTTGGATGCAACCTTACAACCCCCTCTAGTATCATCAGGATTTTCTTCAAATTCTGTTCAAAAAACACAACTTTTAAAGACTGACATCATAACAATATTTCGTCAAAAGATACTTGCCTACATTTCCTAAATGCAATACAGCAGCCACTGTTAGATAAACCTGTTGTCTATCCGTGTCCGACATGCCCAAACGTGTCAGTGCCACGTCAAGTTCCTTGAAATCGCTGACATCGTCAATGAGGATGTCTTTTAGGGGCCCCTGTTTCGCGTGAGCTGAGCTTTTCTGACCTGCAGTTAAGCCCTTTTCAGTGGCAGGCTTCGTAAAATATCTGGTACAACCGTGTTTCAGATACTGAAAACGAAAATTCGAACAAAAAATCAAACTCAGTCGTAAAAAACTGATATTATAACATGAAACTTAATTTTTGAAGTTTAGATTTAAATCTGGCGCCAAAACAGAATCAATATAACATCGGTAAAACAGATTCCTGCTTGAATTATTTACCTGTTTCAATACATATCGAATAGATGACGCTTGAATCGTCTGACATTGTCAAACATATAAAAGATCAATTCTAATTTTAGAAATACTCAACATAAAATGCTGTGTTAGTTATTATAAGGGGAATAACCTTATTTCTTGCTTCAAAATAAATTTTCTATAGTTTATAAAAGCATTTATGCGAAAAACACCGTAATTTGAGAAAATATACGTGAAATTGTAACTAGGATCGATTTAAGATCGATAAAACAGATTCCTGCTAGAATTAATTGCCTGTTGCTTTGAGACATATCAAACAGATGGCATCTGAATCGCCAGGCCATGTCAAACATACAAAACATCAATTCTGATGGTTTAAAAATACCCAACATGAATATTTCTTTAGTTATTTCACGAACCTTGGCCTTATTTATCGGTTTAAAATGAGTTTTATATAATTTAAGAATATATTTGTAAAGAAAAAAACGATTTGAGCAAATATGCATGAAGATTTGGATGAAATTGTACCCAGGCTATACCTGGGTAGCTGGGAGGCTGCTACAGACACAAATATCCTTAACAAGTACCATATAACGCACATTTTAACAGTGGAGACTAGCCCATTGCCTAGATCCATCACATGTTTCAGGCATATTACCACGAAATTTATTGAAGCTCTGGATTTACCCAGCGAGGATCTTCTGAGTCATTTTGACGATATATATGCTTTCATTGAAAAAGGTTTAAACACAGGAGCTGTACTAGTACATTGCTATTATGGCGTTTCAAGAAGTGCCACGGCTGTGCTGGCATACCTCATGAAAAAGTATGGTTGGAGTTTCTCAAAGGCATTCCAAAAAGTCAAGTCTAAAAGAAGATTTGTTTACCCAAACGAAGGGTTCGCAGCCCAGTTAAAGCTTTACCAAGATTTCGGCTGCAAGATTGACAGAAACGAGAAGAAATGTAAGCTGTTCAGACTAAAACTAGTGACAGAAAAAATCAAGGAAGGTCGAAACATTCCCAGGAATTTCTTGGATTTAGTTCAACCGGATCCAAAGAAATTTACCGACTCGTTCAAATGCAAGAACTGTCATAGAGCGCTAGTAGCTAAAATAAACCAGTTTCCGCATGAAGACAAGTCACGTGAATGTTCGAAAATCTATTTTGTAGAGCCCACATCGTGGATGAAGGTAACTGAGTTAACTAAGGGTGAATTATACTGTCCCCAGTGCAGTAAAAGGGTGGGAGCCTTCAATTGGCTCGGTTGGAGATGTAGTTGCGACTTTAAAATGACGCCAGCTTTCTATTTAGATCCTTCAGAAGCATATTAAAGCCTACTAAGCTTAAAACATCCTGTATTAATACAGTAGTTCAAATGTACCGCCAGTTTTTTTTGCGTAAATCACATTACTCGATGTTGCAAACCAGTCTGAGCGTCTATATTGTAATTCTAATGCAGTTCTGCAAATTAGTTCAAACGTAAAATACAAATCCTAATAAAAAAGACATACCTAGATTAAGACAAAATATCTATGTTGACTTATTTCTTTATGATTTATTTATATAATATAATATGTATTTTGTTATACTTGAATAAATTTTCTTTGTAGTTCATCAAAACCTGTTTTATTTAACGTAAAAGTACTCACATTGAAATCGTCCGGCTTGGTGAGTCCTAATTTTTGTCTTAAATCTGCCGGAGCTCCCGCCATCAACATATAAAATATATGATAGCTCCTTTCTTCGCCATGTGATGAGCATATCCTGCTTTTTTCCAATAAATAATGTGAAATATGACCGCCGGCCACCTGGAACTTGTTGTCGAAGTGCACCTCGATAAATTTACCGAATCTCGAACTGAAATAACCAAAAAACACCTTATACAGTAGTTCAAATGTACTGCGCGATTTTTAATGCAAGTAACAAATTGATCGAAGTATCTGAGCGTCTAGTATTAATTTCAACAAAACCCTAAGAAAAAATTCAGTTAGTTCAAATGTACCACCCACATAATAACAGTACATTTGAACTACTCTACAGGGTGAATTGTTTTATAGCCGCTCGATTTGTTCGTTGCTGTGTATTTTAATGAGTAGTTCAAATGAACCGCATACCTGTTATTGTTCCTGGTGGTTTTCGCGTTACCGAAGGCTTCCAAAATTGGATTTGCATCTAGGATTTTCTGTTCAATGGGTCCTGCAGCGCCTCCTTCGCATAAATACTTCAATAAGTGTTTGGTGGACTCTGTTTTACCCGCTCCGGATTCGCCAGAGACTATAATCGATTGGGACTGCTTGAAGACTCTCATATCTCTAAACGCTTTGTCGGCTATAGCGAAAACGTGAGGAGGCATCTCACCCAGAGATTTCCCTTGGTAGGATTTGATTGTTTTGCTGGAATACAGCTCGGGGATGTCTTTGTAAGGGTTGATGGCTATGAGTATATTTGCTACATACGACTAAAATCGAAAAAAAAAACTTAAAGTAGTTCAAAAATACAAATGTATATTAAAAAAACTTACATAAATTTTGTTTTTGTAGTACCTAGTACGGATGTTATTTAGAAGAGAGCCTTCGTTTAAAAACATCATTTCACCTAAAAACAACAAAAAAAATAGAATTTTTTATAAAATAAACCGAAAAATTAGATATCTTACAGTTATCATCGTAATCTCTGTCTTTTTCGACGTAGGCTCTGAAAATATCGCTAAACGGCAACACTCTTTTGGGATATTTCGGGTCCAAGGGGATCACTTCGGCACCATCGCTCGTTATCTCGGAAATCCGCCCCAAAACGAAGCCTTCCGTAGGGTCACGAGCCCACACCGTGTCCTCCATGGCTCAATCTAAAAGAAAAAAATAAAACCCTTATGAATAATCTAATTTAAACAAAAGCGGGAAAGAAATTAAAAGTGTCGACGTTAGATAACCAGACATACAGTTTCGATCAATGTTTAATAGGTAGGCAACTTAATATACATAAACCATTTCAAAAAATTCAAAATTTGATAGTTTTAACTCTTTCTTTTATTATAAGGTGTTAAATACTAATAAACTTATAGTAATTTCTAATAGATATAGCGTATAATAATGGTATATAAATGTACTATAATGCATAGGTTCTGTAAAGTAATAAATATTAACTAGTGAAAGTAGTTTGTGTCGCATATTATCCTTGGCGCGTAATTTTTTACTTTTATGATTTAAAAAAGTTCTTTATTAACGACTACTTGTACTCGTATATAACATTACAGCGGAAATAATGCAACTATTAATACTGTTATGGTCATAAAACAACAATGGCAGAACATAATGTTTAAAAAACAAACAAAAATTACGCAGTATATACTTAAAAATAGGGTTTAACGAATTTTTCACAGAATAAAAAGATGTTTTAAATTAAACTACCATTAATTAGAACTGTTTCCGACTTTCTTTTGTTTATAATCAAACGATTATGAAATTTTCCATCAGAGTTTTTCACACAATCAATTTATTTTGTTTGATTTAGAATCTAATATTATATTAGTGTTAAGCTGTGGTTTTTATATTTTAATAATTAACTGTGATTTTGTAAAAATATTATTAGATTTATTATTAGATTGGTTAGCATTTTAGACACTTTTAAATGATTTATTTTGGTTCAAAAGTGCTTTATCCAAGGACTTTTTTCTTTTAAACTGTTCTATAAGCATAGGACTTTCTACCAAAAAAAAAATTGCTAAATTCATAGGTACTTATACTTATAGCAGATTTCAGTTATTCTAAAGTGCGAAATTTGGAAATTACGCGTTTCCGCAGGAAAATTTGTGTTTTCTGTCGTTCACAGTAGCTTTTTAAAGACAAAAATTTATTTATTTTTCTAATAACTAATTTCAGCTAAACGAAAGTTGACCCCCTAGTAGTGTTGCCATACACTAAATCAAATGTCGAAACAACAAAAACTCTCGCGATTTCTACTATAGCGACACCAGAATTCAGAATTTAAACGAAATAATTTCACGGTTACTTTAACATCAAAACTACCTAAGTAAAAGTAAAATCTACAAAGATTTCTCCTCAAACTCTCCGACGTTTTTGTTTGGCGGAATAATTTTTAAATGCACCGCAAAACAAATATTTTACCAGACTGGATATACAGGGAGGTCCAATGCTCCGAAAAATGATTTATTATTGTTTGAGATCGGGACCATAAAATCAAAAATAAATAAAATAGTCATTAATATAAATATAACGTAATTCTATACAGGTTTTTACCCTATCTAAATGTCAATATTATTCTACAAGATTATATTATATGCATGCCTGTGTAAGTAAGGCTTCTTTTAACTAGAGTTGAATCTAAAATCGAAGACTCTGTTTATCGAGTCAATATATTAAGAGATTTTTTTTTTAATTTATTTATTCATAACGAATTTATCAGTTATTTGATTTTAAACATTGTGAATATCATTACTTTAATTATTATAAATTCTTATTGTTGTAAAAAAAACCTTTATATGTCGTAATATTTGATAATATGTATTCAATAAACAGTTAATACCTTATCTTGCTCACTAAGATTATTATTTTTATTGTACAAAATCAACTAAAAATACATATCAAAAAATAGATAGATGATAAAAATCAAGTCTACTTCAAATATGCAATATTTCAATATATTTATGTAGCTTATACAGGGTGTTTTAAAAAACATATGCCATCTCTGGTGGGGAGATTCCTCACATAAAAATAAGATTTATTTTTCATATCAACATAGGTTCGATTCTGCTTTGTTTCGTAGCTACGGGGTGTTAAAATACTTTAATACCAGTTAGAACAGAATAAGACCCTGTAGTACATACAATCTGTCTTAAGAAGTTTAGAATTATACCGATACAAATATAAATTTATTGAACACACCCTGTACCTAATTAGTAATCGAAAAAGCTAAAACAGACAGACTGCCAGGCCAGCAGATGTCCATCGACCTACTGCATACAGGATGAGACGGCAAATCACGGTCAGGGTGAGAAGGCCTGCCTAGCATCAAGTAATGCAAGCCTTAATTTGGAGAAAAGAAGAAGAAAAACAAAAGAAAATCACGCGGAACGTCCAGGCCGTCTAGATCTCCAACAACTGTTAGCTAATTATTTCTTTAAAGGAGAAAGATTGCGAGATGATTTTACTGTTAGGTTCCTCGTTGCAGTATTGCGATAAATTCAAAAGATTTGCGTTTAAAATTAACTGAATTCAAACTGTAATTAAATTAAAGTGCTTTCTAATTACTGTAAAAAAAATTTAAATAAAAAAAATCAACTGTCTTTTTGTTACTATTTTTTTATTGCGATTTTACGAGTCTTCTTTAAGTGACAACATGCGGAAGCACTCTGAAATGATAGGATTTTATATTTAGAACGTCCCTTTCGCGTAAAAATGAGGTTGACGGCCTGTCAATGGATATAATGGGCCCTTTACAGGACAAATATAATGGTTTTGGACGAGTCGAAGAGCCTGAAATGTCATCTATTTTTGTCTGAGGGTGGAAGTATTACAGGGACAAACATGCCACGATGCCAGATTTCCATTTTCGTATTTTTAAAAGTATTTTAAAGAAATATAAACATAAAAAAATGTATTTCAAGTTTCGAAGAATTGAATACCATGAAACTGCTAATTAGAGATCTAGTTAAAATTGATGTATATTGTTTCGTGTACAGGGTGGCTCGAATTCGACGCTCATCATTGGGATTTCGGAAACCGTAAGAGATACAGGATCGGTTAAATGGAGGCAAGGTTGCGCAATTTGATGCTCAATAAAATGCCGTATTGCATTTTGAAAAATTCCGAATACTTCCGAATATATTCGAAAAAAAACCGGAATTTTCAATTTTGTTTTCTATTGTTTCCTGGTTTTATTTGTTAAGATAACTGAAAATGAAAAACTTATTTTCGTGGCCACTTTTTCTGCTCTACAACTCTGTGTGATTAAATATTGACACGTTTCGGCCATCATCAACTTAATTTTTTTTAAATACGGACCTGATTTTTTTTCAGTTTAATTAGATCCTTTCATCATTCTTAAAACACTATATATAGTCACTTTGATATTTGCCGACGTTTCGTACAGAAAATTCCATCACCAGAATATTTTATGCAAAAAAAATAGAAAATAAAAATGCAATACGGCATTTTATTGAGCATCAAATTGCGCAACTTTGCCTCCTTTTAACCGATCCTGTATCTCTTACGGTTTCCGAAATCCCAATGATGAGCGTCGAATTCGAGCCACCCTGTACAGGAGCGATACAAAAATATAAAATTCGCTCAAGAGTAGAGTAAAATATATTTAAAAAAATATATTAGTATAATAAGTAAATTTTATGTGCATGATCTGGCAACGTCCAGTGAAACTATTCGAGTGAAACAAGTAGAAAAAAAATGTTTCCCTAAATCTGGGGAAAAATATAAAATCTGGCAACGTTGACCGGACTTATTCCAGCCCTAACTTGTACAGCTGGTTCCAAAAAGAACGAATACGACACTTTACACATTTTTTTCGAATATTTGGGCAGTGTATATTTATGTTTCAAGTATTTTGACATGTTAAGGTTATTTTGACATTTTATAAAACAACTTTGCTTTTGACAAAGTGGCAAATAAATTTTCCAGAACGTCAGTATGACATGAGTAGAGAAATGGGGGACTGGTATCATAGAATATACTGCCCGAAATAATAAAAATATGTTTTAAATCGTATTGAATTTTATTGGAACCAGCTGTACAATAAACATGTTTTTTTTTTAATAAATCATATTTAAGAAAATATTTTTTTCATTAAAGATGGTGAAAAAATGCAAGGACCGGCAACGTCGACCGGAACTATTCGGGCCTAACATCCGATTTTAGGCCGGAAATCGGCGTTGGAGCGTATGGACAGGCCGGAGACACGCCTGATAACTTGCAACGAATTGTTTGGGTTGTTTTCCCTGCGTTTCGTTTGTTTGGTGTCATCAGACTGTGAACGGTAACAACAATAAAAAAGGGATAATGTCCAGAAAGAAATAAACCGAAGAATATTTAAATGTATAGTACCAGGAAGTATAAAATATTTTTTAAAGAAAATCATTCTGAAATTAGCGTAGGTATGATCGAAAAAAACCGCGTCAGGTTGGCTTGGATATGACGATTAAATGAAGACATTTCCCATATAATTTTAACGTAAAAAACTCATCTCTGTATGCGTACCTAGTTCTTTGTCCGAGTTTTTGATTCTCAGTACTTGTTTAGAACAATATTAAGGTGTATTTCTATAATGATTAATTCCACAGCTGTTGATCGTGGGAGTTGGAAATATGTCTTTGTGCTTTTATGAATGTTCATATACATAATGTATGACTCAACCAGTCATCATCACATCTTACATATACACAGATATACATGGATATCTAGAAGTAGTTCAATTCGCAAATATATTTTTTTAATTTTTATTAAAGTATATTGATACATCGATGAATTAATTTTCTTTTTTCTAAAAATATTTTAAGGCGATGTTTGAATGAACGTTACTTAATTTTAATAAATTATTAGTCATCAAGACCTTGACTTTTTCATTAACACGATTAATTATGGTAATAAGACAATCTTCTTTCATAAATAAATAATTTTTTGTAATGTTACACTTTCAAAAATCTCCTAAAATAGTCTGACAGTCAATTAATAATTTAGTTTAAATAATAAACCTTAACGAAAGTAAAAATTAGTTAAACAGCAGTGTCAGTCAAATAATTTTACCTAATTAAGAAAAAAAATATACCTAGGTATATCACTTTATAATAGCACCACGTATCCTATACATCATGTAAAGCAAACCTTTAAAAGATAAGATAGCAATAATATTAGACAGGGGATTAAACCTAGATTAAGACAGCTAAAGCCTTGATTTACAAAATCCAACAAAAATTCTTTATCTCAAGTGGGTGCCCACATATATTTTTTATTAATAATAGCCAAAATAACATATGATATCATACAGTTATTATTCGGTATAAAAATACACTAGATAAGGTCCAAGACAGGCGAACAGGTGTTATAATGTTTTAAAGTCACTTTATTACACGCGGAACATGAATGAATGCTCTAAAAACTAGAAATATAAACTAGTTTTACCGTAAAAATGAGGATTACTAGAGTGTAAACTCGTACACACGCTATACCGTTAAAATATTTTTTTTCTATACATAGATATAACTTTCAACAAAGCACTTTTCGTGTCCACCCTGTACGCAAAACACGACCAGGTAAACTTGTCTGATAACGTGAAAAATGATAAGGCAAAACAAACTTGTTAACGACATTCTAATTTAATTGAAAAGGATGCTTTTTTATTTGTTTGATCTCAGCCATTGGAAACAAAAAGAATAGGACTGCAATTTGTGGCCAGTTAGTAATAATTGTAAATTACCTTTTGAACAAGTACCGTTATAATTGAACCTAGGACAACTTCAATTGCTTTTATTTAATAGCTTACGTAATAAGCGACAATCTAGGAGGCTGTACCGCTTGTCTTTGTGTGTATTTGCATTTTAAATGCAGTTGCTAACAAAAAAAAACATTGCAATATAACAAATATTGAAAAATCCGGTTGGAAAATCGAAGGAATGTATTCTGGCGATTAATATAAGTGGGTGAGACTTACCTTTAATTAATCTGGTCGGTTTAGCTGCCTTTGTACCTGAAACAATGCACAAAACACGCAACCACCTGTTGTAAAACGATTTTCAACAACACAGCATCCGGAAACCGCAGCTTTTCCGAACTGAAGTTTTTGACAGCACAAAAAAACTTGATTTCTGACTTTTGTGCGACAGATATATCCATCCGTCTCTCTCTCTTCTCCATTCTTCTTCTTTTCGGTGTAACGGTCTCAAGCTGCTAGGATTACACAGAGATATGGAGGAAATATCCCTCTATATCTCTAGTCTTTTTCGGTTTTGCTGGCGTTTGTTGCTCAGTCCACCCGTAACAGCTATTCTAGGTTCTAGCAGTTCAGGCCATAAACCAAAGAAGTGGCTGTACAGGATAGCCCTGGCAACTATAGTTCTATAACCAAACTATTACTAGCTAACTTAACGATTATTTTCTTTAACCACAATTTTAATTTTTTTAAATATTTTTGAGTTCAAAAATGGAAGTTGATAATTTCGTTGAAATTTCTAGCGATTCCAGTAAATCGGACGAAACTATTATAGTACCGAACGACGACATAGACGAAATTGTAAAGAAATACACAAAAAACACCCATTTATCCAAGGACGATTTTCCTTCGACTTCAGCCTCCAGTTCGAACAAGAATTTTTACTCCTTAGACGATTTTTCAGACGAAGACATCAAATTAGAACCGCTAGGGAGCAGGATAAAACGGAAAACGGATGATACTAAAGCGTCTACCTCAAATCCCAGCTGTTCTTGGAGGAACAAGTTTTCTGCGGAAGATTTTTGTGAAGATTCTAACGATATAGAGACAGTATTAAACAGGGTGCGTCAGTTAGAAGAGGAACAATTTCCTGTAGTATCCGAGCATAATATCAGCAAAGAGGTAGAGATGCTTATCAGTGGAGATATGTTTAAACAACATTCAAATTCTGAAGAATTTATCAACAAATACTCTTGGGAAAATTCCTCAGAAGAGAATCTACCAAACTTGGATAATTTTAAATACTCATCAGCTGAAGATGTAGTTGAACCTGAAAAGAAAAAGGCAAAAAAACGTGACAACACTGATAAAGAACAGAAAAAAATTGAAAGAGAACAAGCCAAAATACAGAAAGCCAGAGAAAAGGAACTTCAGAAACTCGAGAAAGAGCAACAAAAACAGTTAAAAGATGCCTTAAAAGTTGTAGAAGATTATATTAAACCTGATAAATGTATGGAGGTAGTTATTTTTTTCACATTCTCTTCAAATTATTTGCTTATATCAAATATAAATGTGTTTTTTAGTACTTAGTAATAAATATTGATACACAATTAGCAAGAAAACCCTATGGTGAGGTCGTAGTGACTGGATTAAAAAGCAGTAGTTATAATTATAAAGTATCCCCACAAATAGCGCCAAATTTTGTGTCATGGTCACGAAAAATACCTACAGTTCAAAATAATGTAAATATCACTGTAATAATATAGCTAAAATATATTTTATTAATTCACATTTTCTTGCAGCTTCTCAGTCATGTTATGCAACAGGAGTCACATTATCTATTTGTAATAGAAATACCTGAATTTGTGAAGCATGTTGTTCAAAAAACACTCATTGTTCTTATACAGTCTTTTATGACCTTACCAGAAGTTAATCATTTAACAATAGCACTTTTAGGTTTACCTAGATTTTTTAATTATTTAAAAAACGAAAGAAATAGAGAATTTAAGGTATTTAAAGTTTTGTTTCCTTGTTATATTTATATTTAAAGCGCTTTATATTGATAGGCTTCAATGCAAGACAGTGAAATACCTAGTAGTAAAAATACTAATAGAGAATTTAAAGATTTACCAACAATTTCCAAAGAAGAAATAGATAAAGAACTGGTAGAATTACAAATTTACTGCAAACATATTTATGTAAGGCCTGTAGACAAGTACGAAGACCTGGCTGCTTTTGTAGTGGAGTGTACCAAAGCTGTAGCTCAAATTCCTCATAAGTAACGTAGAGAGAATTTTTATAGGTATTTTTTTAAACTTAATTATAATTCCAGGGCTGCAAAAGCTGACGTTCTGAGCAGAGAAAGTGAATATTTTTATGGAAGCAACAAAGACTGTGTCAAAGTCGATAAAAACGGCATGGGTTTGGGAAGATTATGGTCTCAAATCATAAGGATGTTTCCTTTAGCTAGTTTAGAGACTGCAGAGGCTATCACAGCTCGTTACCCCACAATGGTTTCATTGCTAGAGGTATTTGTTGATGTTTTACTTATACCAGTCACAAAAAAAATAATTTTCAGGCATATGATCAGTGTAAAACTCAATCAGAAGGTGAGAAATTGTTACAAGACATCGCCGTAAGAAGAGCTGCTGGGCCTATGAGCACGTCTAAAAGAATCGGGCCCGAACTAAGCAGGAAAATTTACAAATTCTTTACTTCAGAAGAAAATGAATATTTATGATATATATATATTTTTTTTAATTTTAATTCTTTTGTACAAACGTTAATATCTTAATTATTTTTATACCTACCAGTCTTACAAAAAGAAAAAAACAGCTTTGTTACTATTTTTTTACCTTATTATACACAGTTGTAAATAAATGTTTTTACTTAAGCAAATACACGTTACAAAAAATTAAGTCTATAAATTATTAATACCATCCTAGATCGTACAGTCTGTAGCAAAAAAATTACAATAAATGGGGAAAATATTAAGTTTTAGATTTTAATTTTATTAGTTGAATTGGAAGACTTCGGTTGGTTAGAAAATTACGCAGTTTTTAAATTTATTGCACTTTCATGCCTCCGTTCATCGGATATACGATTTGCTTGTGATTGGTGTCATTTTATATTTTCATTTCCATAATGATTTCGCGTTTTACTTATAGTCTAGCAACGTTTTCGAGAGAGAATTTTAAGAAAACTGGTTCTTTAATATATCTTTTGCTATGCTCTCCTGAACAGAATGCGGACCGTCTGGCTGCCGGTAGACGTTGCGTTCACTACTGCGCATCATATCTGTATTCAACATCTGTTCACTACTGCGCATCACAAGTTCGCTCTGTATTTCAGGAACTAAGGAGGCTAGGACAAACCTATGTGTAGCATATTTAGTTTCATAAAATAGTAGCAAAGTAATGTGAAAATCGCATCATTGTATCTCTACTCATAAACGAGAAATTCCATAAAACACACGAAAATGGGATACCGTGTAGAGATGTGATGCGCTGTAGTGAACCGCAGTAGTCTACCGGCAGCCAAGCGGCCCGCACTGTGGTCAGGAGGGCATAGCAAAAGATATATTAAAAAACCAGCTTTTTTAAAATTCTCGTTTTCCCGACGGTGTTAGCTCTTGTACTATTAGAATTTTTATTAAGGTTAGATTAAATTTGCCAAAAAAGTGTCAAAACGGCCGTTATCGTACGATCCTTCTCCGTTGACGGGCTGAAGTAAAAAAATTATGGATGAAAAGTGGCGCGAAAACGCTATCAACGGATAACGGACGCATGAAAACCAAGCTTAAGTCAGACGTCACGTCAGTGGTCAGAGCTTAATAATGAAAAATATCACATTTGTTGCAAATTTTTTCACCAAAGACTATACGATTCAAACTACTCACTAATTATTTCTTTATCACAAAAAATAATACAAACTTTCCTTATTTCCGCATGTACTGAGTGATTTTGTGGAACTGCTCCACGATGGCAGCCATCACAGCCGCTACGGAGGCGTCTATAAGGTTCTGCATGTGATGCACGGCTTCTTCTTCGCCCAGGTCCAGCATCAGCTTGTCCTGCACTTTTTTCACTGCTTTGTCAGGCTCGAGAGCTATATCGGGCACACTAGCATCCGTCATCAGCGAGAAAAGATTCAACATCAAGTTGGCGTGGCTGAAAACGTTAAAAAAACGAAAGTAGTTCAAATGTACCGTTGTTTTTGGCTCAAAGTAGAGATGTCCTACTATAAAAAAAAGTATCGATATTTAAAAAAATCGATATTTCTGGACATCCCTACATTAAACTTGTATTTTTACCGTCTCAAATGCAAGAAGGCGGTGTAGCAGAGCTTCCTAAACTCCTGATAGTGTTCGGAATTGATCCCTCCCATGGCTTCGACCATTTCCTTGCTCAATTTCATTGGCGGGGGTAAGGGTTTTGGATCGCGACCCAATATATAACTAAAAATAAAAAAATTAAAACGTCTGTGTGGGTGTGGGTGTTTTTTACGATATTCTTACCCAAAATCGATATGAAACAGTCTGCCGTCCTTAGTAAGAAGCAAATTATCGAGATGTCGATCACCTACGCCTAAAATATACGTTATGACGCAGTATCCCGCGCATGATCTAACGTAATTATCCATTATGTCAGGCTGAATGCCATAGGGGGCGTTCTCTTGGGCATGGTATTTCTTGAAGTAGTTTTGAATGCTCCCTGGTAACACAAAAATTGAATTTTTTCTTTTAATTTTACTTGTAACTCAATAAAAATTAAAGAATCTCAAGAATATCATAGAAATTTAGTACAGGGTGTGCCAAAAAGATAGCTACAAATGGATTTTTTATCAGTGGAATTTCTTCAGCTTGATAAATAATAGGAAAAAAACTATTTAGACATGTATCATACCATAAGAGTCATGGTGGTATTTTTTACACGTAAAATTAAATTATTTTATTTTACGTGTAAACACATAATTTCATAAATATACAGGGACTTTCAAAAAATAAATAATTTATCGCAAATCCGCAAAAAATTTCCCATTTATCGCAAACTTTTTGGCACACCCCGTATATATATATACGAAAAAAATTGACGTACCGTCAGCAGTGAGCACTTCAGCTACAGGAATAGATTCGATATACTGTACGAATCCGTGTTTAGTGCTGGTAGCTAGAACTCTATAAGGAGTCAGCTTCAAATCGAGATTTTCTTTATTTAAAAGCTTATCCATCAACGTGATCATTTGCAAAATCAACTGATCTTGCCTCAGATCGTCCCCCAATTTAAATATAGCAACATATTCTTCATTTTCTGACGTTTTGAAGTGGAGCTTGGAAGGCATCATTGCTGACTTGAACAGAATAGCTTTCTCAGCAACTATACCATTAATGTTTACTTCGGGGTCTAGAGGAAAAGGTATCGATTCAAAATCGGAGAAATTATACTTGAAAGCCAGTGGATCGCAAAGCAGTTCTTTTAGTTTTATTGTTTTTTTGGCTCTGTTCGCATTTTCTCTTGACACAGCTTTAATGAGCAACACTAGTTTATCTATAAACTTCTGTTGTTTCATTAAAGTTGCTCTAAACACTTGCATTGTATCAGAACCCTTCAATAAAGCCTGCGAAAACATCCTCATAACTGTCAAGTAGACTTTCCTGGCATCTTCCTAAAAAATAGATATTATGCAACAGTGTATAGACGTGATATGTATAAAAAGACATTCTAACTAATATACTGTTCAAAATACTAACTTGTGAAAGTTATGTTCTCATTTTTATTCTAAATTTCACAAATCATGCATTTTATATATAAATAAACAAATATACAGTGTGCAAAAAAACTTTTTCTTACACTTACATCTTGTTTTATTGTCCCTTCCTGGTCCTCGCACTCCAAAAGCAGGTACCAGTAAAAATAGTTGGCCAGAGTGAAGTTTTTACACGCCCTGTACACTAAAAACGATGCCAAATCGTTAATATCCTGTTCTTCGTCGTACAATTGACTTTGGAGGGTGTCAGTGTTGCCAGACTCTGTGCAAACGTTCTGCATCAAATTTGGAGGCAAACTTTGTGAAGGCTAAAAAATTATTTAACAATAATGCTTTAAAAATGCAATTTTAAGGTTATGTTACCTGTATAATGCCTGTCTCTGCTTCGACTACGCTACTGACAGTAGAAGAAGCCAACCTGTCAGCTTGGTTATAGCTTGAAGACCTTTGTAAGATCGAATCAGTTGTTATGGTACTATTACTCTCTTTACTGTCTTTTTTTTCTAAGCAACTACCTGAATTTTCTTCGTTTAGTGCAAACACTTCATGTCCGGAGATAACTCTAGCATAGCCTAAAAAGAAAATACAAAGAATGTTTAATAATAAGTCACAGTACCGGCTTAAAATAAAAACCTTCTTGAATTGAGTCAAAATTCTCATATTTCAGTGCCTGAACTAATTGAAGAAGATACAAAAATATCTCTTCGTCTGGTGCTTGCTGTAACCTAGAAATTGAGTATCTTCTTACCGAGGGATTGATAAATATTGGACTTAGTAACTCTAAAGCATCTGAAAAAAAATAACAAAACTTACAATAACAAATTTCATATAATTTTTTTTTTACCTTCAACATCCATAGGCTGCCAGATTTTGATCATATGCTCAGCTTGTCTCACTTCATCAGGTTGATTCCAGTTCACACACTTTAAGAACTTGGCAAGTGCCTTCTTGTTAGTGCTCAGGTAAAACCGGTACTTCCACAAATAGTCTTGTTCTTCGTTTGACAGTTGCTGAGTAGGTGGATACGAAACTATTTGGTTAAGTATGTCTCTGACTGCAGCGTTTGGTTTGGCATCTTTGTCATTGTGGCCGCTGCGTAGAGATCTGGCAAGCATGTGATGCTTTCTTTCTACAAGATTGTCCTAAAAATGAAATTATTTTGATCACATCTACATATATCATTTTACCTATTGAGTCAAAACATATCAAGTAAAACCGTTTGGATTGCATACTTAACTTCTAGACAAGTCACAAGACCCTCCCTACCGTCTACGACCCGTCTTAAAGCAAGTAGTTCAAATGTCCCAACCCAAAAATAATTTTAAAACCCGTCTACACGTAGCATTTTACCTGTCAGTCAAAAATATCAAGTAAAACCGTTTACATTTCATGCTTGACTTCCATGCAAGTCGTACGACACTTCCTACAGGTCTACGACCCATCTTAAAGCAAGTAGTTCAAATGTACCAACCCAAAAATAGTTTTAAAACCCGTCTACACGTAGCGTTTTACCTGCCAGTAAAAAATATCAAGTAAAACCGTTTAAATTTCATGCTTGACTTCCATACAAGTCGTACGACACTCCCTACAGGTCTACGACCCGTCTTAAAGCAAGTAGTTCAAATGTACCAACCCAAAAATAATTTTAAAACCCGTCTACACGCAGCGTTTTAACTGTCAGTCAAAAATATCAAGTAAAACCCTTTAAATTTCATGCTTGACTTCCATACAAGTCGTACGACGCTCCCTACCGGTTTACGACCCGTCTTAAAGCAAGTAGTTCAAATGTACCAACCCAAAAATAATTTTAAAACACGTCTACACGCAGCGTTTTACCTGTCAATCAAAAATATCAAGTAAAACCATTTAAATTTCATGCTTGACTTCCATACAAGTCGTACGACACTCCCTACAGGTCTACGACCCGTCTTAAAGCAAGTAGTTCAAATGTACCAACCAAAAAATAATTTTAAAACCCGTCTACACGCAGCGTTTTACCTGTCAGTCAAAAATATCAAGTAAAACCGTTTAAATTTCATGCTTGACTTCCATACAAGTCGTCCGACGCTTCCTACAGGTCTATGACCCGTTTTAAAGCAAGTAGTTCAAATGTATAAGTCTTCCGTAATAAGTAACATGCAAACCTGACCAGATAAAACGTTATGTTGTAGACGGGGCTTTATAATACTAATAATAATAATAATTATCACACCCACAACGTTCATAAACTGCTCAATCTTCTCCCTTTGCAGACAGTTCACTACATCCTGCTCACTCACGAGCTTGGTGAGTATAAGAACTTGTTGCTTGAGAGCCTCGTTTTCTTTTTTAAGTAGACTGGCTTCGAACTTGTTGGGGCTCACATTAGCGCAGTCCCTGCACTTCCAGTTGTTCGGGCTAACGTCAAACAACATACAAGCTCTGTCCAGGCATTTTTTATGCAAATACCTGTGACAGGTCAAACACTTCACCGCACTAGATTTGATTTTGTGTTCGCACAGCTCGCAAGACATGTCTTGTTTGTATTTTTGATTAATTATTTTCCCAGCGACAGTGTCCCATAGATTTTTGGACATATTTTTAGCCAATACGCGAGTTTTCATTAATAATTATATAGATAAATAAAGCATATTTTTTGTCACTAAAAAAATAAAAATATCACAGATTATATCACATAACTTTTCCTCAAAATAATTTCAAATTAAATTTCATATAGATAAGAGTAAATATATTTGAGGCTTATCAGTGAGATATAATACTTATCAGGATTTTTCATTTACTAAAGTCCCACTCAGTGAAATAACTGCTTTAAAATATACACATTATCTAGAAATGTGACAACTACTGATATAGTTTGAACAACTAAACAAATACCACAGAGCTGTGACAATATTTTAAACAAAAACAATTTTATCAAAACAAAACCTTGAGTTTTTGAACTAACCCAAGGTAATACAAATAAATAAAAAAATACTGTAAACATACCTTGCTTATTTCAGGATCGGGTACAAAAACCAAGTCAGCGTTTGCTTTAAAAGTGTGAATTTCCTCTCCGCTTTGTTCAAAATAAACTATGTGATGGTGTATATTGTCCACTATGGTTTTTTGAAATTCTATGGTCAGGTACATGTAGTTGGAACACCGTTTTTCGCGTTCGTTTATAACTTCAAGCTCTCTAAACGTGAGCCTGTCCAGCCAGTCCACTTTCGGTATGTGACCATTCCTGTGCTTTTTGGCTAGCTTTGATAATTTAAACATCTGATCGTTCGCATGCACTTTACCGTTGTATCCTTTACCTGGTGTTGTGGTTGGTGAATTACCGTCAGCTATAACATTAGGCCAAACCCTCAAGTCTAGCATACCCTAGAAATACATTTATAGTCAAAGATCAATATTATTTACTTTTTTGTACCTCTCTATACACTCCATGTTTACTAAATAAAGACACTGTAGTTCCACCTACAGGCATAAGTTTATCTGGTCCAGCACAATCGTAAATAGTTATAGCTAACTGTGCCGTTCTGGGTAAATCACAAAACTCTAAAGGTATCTGCATCCATTCATTCCAACTATAAAAATAAACAGAAGGCATATTCACCCTTATTCTATACATATTATGGATAAAAATTCACTTACTTCCATCTAGTAGTAAAGGGTTTGTATTCAGTTGCCACAGGCATACATAATGGTTCATTTTGATCGAATATTTGAGTCTCTACTACCAAATCCGAACATCTGTCTTGACAAACGCCGCAAAATTTCAAATGGGGGTCTTTGAGAAGCTCGTTGTAGGTGGGCTTTTTCCTTTTACCTTCCAAAGTGCCTCTGAAATGATATGATATTGTTGAATACGATATATATATCGTTGAATACGATATTTGGAAGGGCTAAAAAACTTACATTTTAATTTGAATTCGAGAAGTGACGTCGGAACTGTAAAGATAGTAAAACTTGTCGCTTAAATCATCCATTGTGTAGTATTAGCTGAATTATTTATAATGTAATGTAACGAAAACCACTTTACTCAATACTCAATTTCTACATCAGGAAAGAAAAATATTTATTTTATTTTGAAAAGTCAACAAACAACATATGTCATATGTCAGTTGTCAATTTCTTCTTAAATTTCCTATGGCCTGGATAGTCATACTATTTAAAGGCCACGAAACTGATAGAAGAAGAAATCTTCTTAAATAATTTTGGCAGGAACATATCACCTGCAGCAGCTAAAGACAATAAAACTGAAAGGAAGACAAATTCTTGAAATAATTCAGGGCACGAACGATAAAAAACGCGATCACCTGACAATATATTTAAAAAACTCAAAATTTAATTAATTTCTACATCGCTAATTGTGTATCTTAATTTAATAATCACAGATGTGGGAGTTGTGACGTCGGCTACTACGATTTCTTGGCCGTCTCTAAGCCCTAAATCGATCAGTGTTTTACTTAAATTAGGTCTGGTTCTTTCCTCAATCATTTTAATTGTCGGTATGTACAGCGTTTTGCTTTTACCATCGATTGTGGTAGTAAGGCCGGGGTTTTTCATTTGAAACTGAAATAAAACAGATCAAATTATCTGTTTTGATATCTTAACTGATTCCTACCTTTATATTTTCACACAAAAAATCAATCAAATCTTTTAATTTCATTTTACATGGATCATCGATATCGACCGGATGTGGAATATTGGAACATACAGTACAATTATCCTTCTTCTCCGCCTCGTAAGCATAAGTGTAAATGCCATCAATATCATTGAAAACCATAAAGTTATTTAGAGGGGTACAACACGAAGTTGCTAATTTAAAAACCTTAAAATTTTGCCTCAACTTTAAAAATTAAATTAAATTTTGCTATATAGGCATACCTCAGTGGCACAAACTGCTGATATAACAGCATTTGTAGAAGCTACAGCTGGAATAATATTTTTTACAACACCCTGTACCAATCTAAATGTAACACCGTGTATATTGAACTGATTGGCTCTTTCTAGTGCTTTTTCATAGATCCAAGTGGTGTGTTGTGCATCATCGCCATCCAGGGCAACACCAAAAGGGTTTTCTTTAAAATAATTAAGATAATATTTTATTTTTTTAAACTATTTTTTTACCTTTTGGCCATTGTACAACTTTAACATATTCTACACAATGTTCTGGCAATCTTGGAGTATTTGCAATGGTGCACAAGGGATACGTGACTTGGGGAGGATATAAATCAAGAGTACACTCAACACAGGCTGTCATACCTGGTAGAATTACGCGTGCATTTCCCTTAAAACCCTCAGTACCTAAAATAACTTCTTCTAGAGACATTTTTACATTATAAGCCATAATTTTACCTCCATCTACTAAAGGAATGATGCTTGACTGGTCCAAAACCCCATTGTCATCATAATTCAATAAAGAAACCACCATTCCGTTGATCCATCTTCTAGCTGTGATCGAATCTAAACCACAAACAATGATATGGAACCCTCTATAAAAATCCTCTTTTTTATCTTCTATTGGGCAACAGTGGGGAGTCACTTGGCATCCCGCTATCCTGGCATTGATATAGTTCGCTGCCACCTAATTTAAAATACAGTTTACTCGAAATTTAAGTCATAATTTAAGAAATAAAATACCTGTGCTTTAGACACACCAATATCTTTGTGCCTGAAGAGAAATTGCCGATTTAAATTCGACAAATCGATAATATCCATGTCGATGATATCGATGTGCTTAAAGCCCATCATTGCCAGGTCTTTGAGCAGCTCGCAACCGAGCCCCCCAGCACCTATAATGAGGATCTTGCAAGTGGACAGGATAAAGTCCAGAATATCCGGGGACGGCTCGAATTCTGGATGCGTGAAGGGACCCGGACGTTCCAAGACTTTTTTCAAGTGAATCCATCGTTTTTGATGAGATTCCTTCACTTCTTCCATGGAAAGTTTGAATTTCAGCGGAGTATTTTTGATTTTTTTTTCAGAAAAAAGTGCCAAACGAATCTAACCAAACTTTTTTGACATTGACAATACTCTTCTTTTTTTTATTTTTGATTTTATTCGGTTGAGGACCGCGGTTCGAATATTGTGTAAGCAAAGTAGGCTCCGTCTAAATGAGCCCTAGCGTCAACTCAAACGTAAAGTTTTTAATTTGCTAAATCCAGTTTTTCTAAAAGGAAGAGTTTTTTTCGGAGACTTAACCTAAGATTTAGGCGTCATTTTTGGTATTTTCTCCCATTTGTATTTTGTATTGATACTGATATTAAATTAAAGAAAAATATATATCTAATAATATGGCAGGAGTAGATGTAATAATCGAAGAAAAAAAGGACGATTCTATCGATAGACAAAAGGTACTAATTAAATTCATTTCGTTCAAATGCTTTCACTACTGTTTCTTTTTAGATATGTCCATTTTTATTGAGAGTTTTTGTCTCGTCGAGCGGTCAGCATCACAAAGTAACAGAATATAACAAAGGAAACACACCCACAAACGAATTACAAATCTACACATGGAAAGACGCGACTCTACACGAACTGACTCAGCTGGTTAAAGAAGTGAATCCAGAAGCAAGACGGAAGGGCACAAAATTTAGTTTTGCTTTAGTGTATCCAGACACAAGATACCCTATTTATAGGTAAAAAATTATTAAGAAATTGATTTAAACTGTTTTATTATTAACGTTTTTTTTATAGAATGAGAGAAATAGGAAGTACAACGACTGGAATTAAGGGTTCTGAGGATTTGAAAACTTTGGGGAACTTCAGGATAACTCTCGGAGATTATATGGATATAGCTATTACCCCGCCTGATACTTGGAACGCTAACAGAGGCAAGAACTATTCAAACAACTTTGGTAACAGAAATAGACCTTTCTAAATAATAATACTTAATTTTTAATAACTTTTTTATTATTAAGTAAAACATTTCTTTATAAACAAATATGACTAGAAATAAATTAACTTAAATTATATATAAGTATATTTTTTCTATTAATAATAACCTGGCTAAAATAAAACACAATAATACTGTTCCAACTAAATTAAGCATATTTTATTAACTAACAAGCAAAACTGAATATTCAAAAAAATAACTAAATCTCAAAATAAAGTGACAACTGTGAGGCTTTCGTGAAGTTTTTAGTAGCAAGTACAAATAATTCCGCGTTTACAGAATCCACCATGCTTTCTTGAGTTTCTGCAGGACTTGTTGCAATTGTACCATGTGCATTTTTCTTTCAGTTTGTCTTTAATGTATTCTGTAAAGTAAAATAAGATAATTAATAAAAATCTACATGGTTACATATTTTTTTTTAATATACAGGGTGATTTAAGCATAGTTGTAATTCTTTATTTAATAGTTTAATCCCTTGTATATTAAAAAAGTGTTTTTAAAGTGTCAAAAAGTAGTTAAAGTTATTTTTTTTTAAATAATGTATAATTGAACTAAAACTAGTTACCTTTAATCTTTTGTTCTCGACTGTCAGAACTGTCACTGTCGTCGTCATCATCATCATCATCGTCGTCTTCTTTCGACTCTTCATCACTGTTCTTTTCTTTGGAATTGTCCTTTTCATTTGAATCATTTTCTTTGCTTTGTTCCTTAGATTTTTCTTCATCGCTGTCATCATCTTTAGAGTTGCTATCATTATCATTTTCGGACTCTTCAACATCTTCAACACCAGCAGAATCTCCAGATTGGTTAGATTTGTCTTCAGATTTTACCTCAGAATCGTCCTGGGAACCTTCAGATTCATTAGGCGAGTTTTCAGAGTTTCCTGACTGATTTGAGTCATCTTGAGAAGACTCTTCTTCTTTTTGGGAGGCGCCAGATTCATTTCCTGCCCCTGCAGACTGATCTTGACTGTCTTGGGATGATTCCTGTCCATTCTCAGAGCCATCAGAACTACCGTTATTCTCAGAAGCATCAGATTCAGCCTCTGGTTCATTTGCTTGTTCACTAGCTGCTCCAGATTGATCTGAGTTACCTTCAGAAGCCTCAGATCCACTCTGAGAAGCATCTGACTGTTCTGAATTACCTTGAGAAGCATCTGAACTTTCTTGAGCTGAGCCTGATTCATTTCCTGAACTTCCAGACGATTCAGATTCTCCTTGGGAAGATCCAGAACCATTTTCTGACGTTCCTGATTGTTCTGAGTTACCTTGAGAAGCATCTGAACCATCTTGAGCTGAGCCTGATTCATTTCCTGAACTTCCAGACGATTCGGATTCTCCTTGGGAAGATCCAGAACTATTTTCTGACGCTCCTGATTGTTCTGAGTTACCTTGAGAAGCATCTGAACCATCTTGGGCTGATTCTGATTCATTTCCTGAACTTCCAGATGCTTCGGATCCATCTTGTGATGATTCAGGATTATTTTCTGATGCTCCTGATTGTCCCGAGTTACCTTGAGAGGACTCAGCGCCTTCTTGAGCTGCTTGTTCTTGTCCTTGTTCATTTCCTGGACCTGAAGAAGCTTCTGATTCTCCTTGAGGTTGTTCTAGACCGTTTTCTGGACCAGATGGTCCTCCAGGTTGGCCAGGATTGTTTGGAGCCGGTTCTGGGTTACCCTGAGGTCCTTCTGAACCTTGCTCTGGGTTTTGTGCTGGTTCTGAGCCATTTGGTGGTCCATTCGAAGGACCTTGAGGGTTTGGGAATGTTGTAGACGATTCTAAGGCCTCTTCAGTGGGTGTTGATTGGTTAGGACTGTCAGTAGTTTGTTCAGATACTGATTCTGGTTCTTCAGTGTCGCAATACTCGTATACTTCAGTGGTAGCATCTGTAGTAGGGGCTGTTATACCGTACCCGATAAAAAGCACAGTTAAAATAATGATTTGGCACTTCATATTGAGTTCGTTCGTATAAGTCGTTCGAAAAAACTATAAGCTCCGTTAGAAAAATGTCGTTTATTTATATGCATTCTGTTTTGCGATCATTACTACTCTAGAAGAGATGTAAAACAATAAATTTGGTGTGTTAAAAGGATTTAACTGTATTTGCATAAGGATATCTTTCTAATCTTTTCAAGAAAGTACGTAGGTATGTATAAAATGGCACGGATGTTGTTCCAGTTAACTTTTCGGGCAATAAAAATCTTATAGTCCTTATATTTTCTAATGAATTACGTGGCTAATTATTGACTTACCTCAAAATTATTTTTAGGGACATTTTAACTATTTCATTCAAATACGAAGAAATTATATGAAAGTGAATTCTAATATTTTGTTTATGCTGTTGAACATTAAGAACAAGGGTAAATATTTTTGTTATTGGACAGAATTTTTCCAGTGTATGTTGTTTTAATGAATTATATACGTGGAAAAATATAAGGTAGATTAACGATTAGAATTATTATTTATGAGCTTCCCAAGATTTCAAGCTATTCTTAGCATAGGAATGCAGATTTTTTTATTAAAAATGAAATATAATTTTTTAATGTAAAATTTATAGACACTCGATTTTATACAGGGTCGCTTTTATGTATGGAAACGGTCGATTATTATGTAAAATATAGGAGGTACCGCAAAAAGTTAAATACAAAAGTTATAGGATTTTTAAATGTCTATTAGCGAGTAATAAATTTAAGTATACAGGGTCGTTCATAAAGTCGTGGCACATCAAAGTTTCATTTTTTTAAATAGAACCCCCTGTATATTATTACATATTTCAATTCTTCCTTCAATTCTAAGCAAAAATCGAAATACACACAATGTAAATTTAAGTATACAGGGTCGGTCATAAAGTCGTGTCACATCAAACTTTATTTTTTTTTAAATGAAACTCCCTGTATCACAGTTCTCTAAGCACTCTAAGTATCACAGTTTCGGCAGAATGGCATCGTTAAATGAAACTGAACATAACGAAATTAATTAAATCAAATTGTTTAAGTGATATTTTTAAAAGTCAATAACTCGGAGACGGTACATTGAGAGGTACATTGTGTGTATTTCGATTTTGCTTAGAATTGAAGAAAGAACCGAAATATGCAATAATATACAGGGGGTTTCATTTAAAAAATGAAACTTTGATGTGCCACGACTTTATCATGGACCCTGTATACTTAAATTTATTACCTCCTATTAGATATTTATAAACCCTATAACTTTTATATTTAACTTTTTGCGGTACCTCCTATATTTTACCTAATAATCGACCGTTTCCAAACATAACAGCGACCCTGTATATTTTTTTGTACGTAGGTACCTCTTTTATGCACCCCGTATATTTTTATTTCTTTATTTCTTGTTTAAATCACAATCTACGCAAGTAAAGACAATAAAATTATATTTCTCGGCAGGAGATAGTTTGAATAAGGATGTTATAAAAATATATTCATGATTCATAAAATTATTACATTTAATAAAAGCATTATTCCTCAACCGTATTTGTTATTTAAATAAAACAAAACAATAAAATACAATTTCAACTTAATTTAAAGTAAAATTTATTAACAAAAAATATATTTTACAAAAATATTCATATATGGCATAGGTAACTTTTTCGATAGTTTTGTATGATTTATTAAATTGACTTACACGTCTTTTTCGGAATGTTAACAAAACAAAATGGTAGGTCTTAGGAGTAAGGTAATAAATAGTTTAATAGAAAAAACAAAAAAAAATAAAGGAAAAAATTTTGAGCTTTTTTTTTAGTTCACATATTGGGGCGCAGGCCTGTAAGGCGGCTGTGGCCTGTTTTTAGACTGAGGGATGTTAGGTTTTTGGGGTAAAAGATCCTCTTCTTCTTCCTCGGGTTCGTCACATTTGTTACCAGCCTCGTATGTAAACTCCCTATAGAAAAAAAGATGTATATTTGGTTGCATAAATTATGGAAAAATTAGTCTACCTTTTGACACCGTCAGGGTCTACGTATCCGTATTTTCCTCTAATTATACAGTCTGCACCCAACGTTTCTTCCTTGAAAGTACCGTCATCATTTTCAAAACCCCAAGTGATGCTACCGTCTTCGTTATCGGTACGGTACTTCCTCAGAATCTGAGTTACGGGTCTGCGTCTTCGTTCTCTGAGTTCCTCCTCTTCCTCGAGACTCTGATGGCGTGGGGCTACCTTTGCCGAGGCGGCTCTGAAAGTTTGCTGTTGAACTGGAGCAGGTCTACTCACCTAGAAAACAAAAAAGAAATTCAAAAGTAATTTTTACGAAAGTGCTTTAATTTGGGGAATATTCGCACCTATTGGCAACGCCGTATTTAAATAATTTGTCGCTTATTTACATAATATCGATATTTAGGGTATCGATATTTTTATACATCCCTACTACAAAATTTACCTATAGTTTACCGAAACTTTATAATTTTTAATTAAGAGTGTAAGTCTACTTTTTTCTATATAATTTTATATTGCATAATAAAAATCAAGAACGTCAGAAAATGGTTCTAAACCTTCCAAAGGAGGATCTGAAGCATCTAAAGCTTCAGAAAATGAATCATGGTCATCAGGATCAGCTAAGGATGACTCAGATGCATTGCAGGGTACAGGAACTCAATGAACAGGAATCATCACAAGATAGCAAAGATTTCTCAATTAAGAAGATGACTCAAATCAATAAGGAAACAGAATTAAAAAAAAATCGCCAAAAATTAGTGATGGACATTTTCTAAAAAAAATATCGATACTTTGGTATATCGATATTTTTTCTACATCCCTAATTTAAAAATTTACCTGTCTAACAGGTGCTGGTCTTGGTGCTGGCGCCTCCTCTCTGAAATCCTGTCTGACAGCTGGCCTGGGTGGTGGAGGCAATGGCGCGGGCCTTGTGATTTTCTCCCTAATTTGCTCCCTAGCGATGGGCACGGGTCTTTCAGGCCTAAAAGCTAAAGGCGAAGGAGCAGCTAAAAATAATGCACTACATGTAAATCACCAACAAGTCGTTTATAATCGAAAAAAATTGAAATTTTTCGTTTTTTGTTAAGTCTAAGGGGGGTCATAGACGATACAGACCGTGTCGGACGACAAGTTGCACGAAATTTTTTACCTTCTTCCTCGGGAGCATCTCTGATCGCACCCTGTAGAACTGACAAGCCCAATTTATTGACCTCGTCGTCGAAAGTTGATGTTGCGGCTTGTGGATAGTTTGGTTCTTCCACGTCTTCTACTACAGGCCTGACCTACAAGAAAATTACAAAATTTATTTAGGAAAAGATCAAATACTACAAAAAAAAACAATCATCTTGTTTTTGTTATAAGCGAAATCTTGAGAATTTTACCTCTCTAGGTCCTGAAGATATGGCATTTGGCCTTCTGAGTCTTGGAGCAGGTCCTGCTTGTGGTCTTAACACTGGCCGCGAACTAGCCAGCAAAGCACCAGAAATTTGGAGTCTTTGTGGTACTTGTGCCGTCGTACAACATAAATAAAGCTGGAAAAGAAATAAAAAGTATAAAAAACATAATGAATAAAACCGATAATAAAGGCTTTGTCTTATTTACTAAGCTGGACGCCCTGTATATAATTTACGGTTGGAAAAAATGTAACAAGGACAAATAGCAATACGAGCAATGTCGAGTATTTTCTTTACACCGCATAATATTTATTTATCAGACCCCAAGATGGACTTGAGTTGTATTTAGAAGGTCATACCGTAGAACTACGCCCTAAAAATTCTTTTTTTAATTTTCTAGGTGTGTATCTATGTGTATCGCAACGCTGAATGGTTAAACAATTTAACATTGCTCAAAAGGAACACAGAAAATTAATACTTTTTTATAAATGTTCAGTTAAACCACATTTTTAGTAAATCTATACTTATACAGGGTGTCCCAGAAATAAGTGCAAATATTTTAACTGGTAGTATATTTTGATCCCAGAAACACGCCTATGAGGTTTTTTTGCGAAAAAAAAATTGTTGAAAATTTTATATTTTTCTTGACACTTTCCAGGAAATTGTAAAAAACTTTTTAGTGCCGCTTGTTTATTCATCTGAGGCGTCGAATAAGCTGAAAACCCCTGTGCAGTGCCTTCTATTAAAAGATCAGCCTACGGGCGAGATTAATGACGTCACGCTAGTTAGATATAACGGATTAATAAATATGTTGTAGAATACATGGAAAACATAATTATTCCTCAGATTTTTGGTTTGTATTTTAAAAATGATATAGTTTAAATGAAATATACATAATATACAGTTAATAACTACAACATATATACCTATTTATAGTAATAAATACTTTGGCAAATAAACTATGAACCATACAAATGCAGCAAATGTTTTACAATGTACAAATAATGTATAGGTACATAAGATAATGGGTAAAATATAAATATATTTTAAATTTTGGGGTTTGAAAATCGATCTAATTTAACAAAAACATTTAATATCTACTAATAGTGATGTATTATTATTTGCATTCACAAAATTTATATGTATATTTTGCAAGTATCAATGTTCGAAAAATTATATTTACAAATAATACAATATTATCTAAAAAGGCGTCAGCGATGGCTATGAAATGAAGATCGCTGGCATTTTATATGTTAAATTATTCTAAAATTTTTGATTTTCTTGGGATTTTAGGTTCGGGAAAAACGCTGATTAAGTTTTCATTTGGGTTTTCATTATTTTTATTTGGTTTAAAAAAACGTTTCGGCTAACTATAGCCTTCACAGTGTTGTGTCATATGAGAAAAATAGTGTCGAATATAATCCAAAAATTACATATACAATATAATTCACACCTCATAATGTTTACTGCAATTAATAAACTAATATAAACTTATCAAAAGATGACCACATATTTTTTAAAATTATTATTCTTAACACTAAAATTATCTACATTGACTATGGAGTACGCAGTAAACATTATGTGCGTGGTGTGAATATTTTATATGCAATTTTTGGATTATATTCGACACTATTTTTTCATATGACACAACACTGATGGAGGCTATAATGTTAGCCGAACCGTTTTTTTTTAAACCAAATAAAAATAATGAAAAACCAAATGAAAAATCAATCAGCGTTTTTCCCGAACCTAAATTCCAAGAAAATCAAAAAATTTAGAATATTTAGAATCAAGGTTCAAGAATATCAAATTTTCCAAGATTGTAAAATTCTAGTTAATTATTTTATGTGTACAGTTATTTAGGGAATGTCATCGATGTTCATTTCAAGCCAACTAGACGCCGATTTTTTCGATGATACGGTATAATTCTTACGTAAAATGTAAATAACATTAGACCAATTAAAACAAAGAAATATGAATTTCTTAGTATTTTTAGTAATACCTTTATTCTTGAAACTTAATTTTGTATTATGCAAATATACCAATTTTATTGTTATTTTATTCATATTGTATTCAGCCATCACTTAAATATTTGATATTAATTTGGTATTATAAATAATCAATACTATTCATTAAAAATTACTGAACAAATATATGTTATGCTTAACATACATTATATATTATCAAACAAAAACACATTCTTCTTTTAAACTGTATCAGTCTTGTCTTTACAAAAATCTTTTTTAAAATTTGAACTCAAAATAATAATCTTTTTAATGATCTCTAATACACATATTCTTTATTTTTCCCTAGTTCATAATACCTACTTACGTGTTTGAATCTATCGAAGCTGAACCAGTAACACTTGGAGTGGAGATTCCACAATATGAATAAAATAAACATAATTGTCCAGTTTTCATTAATACCATCATGGGAGAATATTATTTTTAAATTTATTAAAGATATTTTCAATAAAATTCTCTTGATTTATAACTCGTACCCACTTTTCTTGCTCTTCCGGACAATTTAGGCTGCCTAGTATAATAACTATCCTTTCCACCAGGAACACAACAAAGATGAGGCATAGCACCAATAACACACTCCACTTAAGCTTTATTGATGAATTGTTAGAGTCTTAAAAAACACACACAAAAATCACGATAAGTAAAAAATGTATGGGCACTTTTAGGTTAAATCACTTGCACAACGTGTAATTTTTAAAATTTCTATTTTTTATGCGAAACCGAGAGTGACCATATATCTGGTAGTAGTTTATGTCACTTCAACACCAAAATAATTAGTTTTTTGCACTACAATAATAAATAATACCAAAAATCAAAGAGTTAAAACCAAAAATCAACCGACAAAATATGAAACGGAATCTAACCCAATATCTAAGTATGTACAGCTGATGAAGTAAACAAAAGTCCGCCCGTAGGCTGATCTTTTAATAGAAGGCACTGATCTGAGGCGTCGAATAAGCTGAAAACCCCTGTGAAAACCCCTTCATAGCCGACTATCGCCAGCGGTTCTCAAAATGTTGCCATTATTTTTTTAAATTTTCAAAGTTAAATAACTCGGTTATTTTCAATTTATTTTAAAAATGGTAAACGGAAAAGATATTTCTTTTGACCAGATCTACCACCCCTTAAAATATCTGCACTTATTTCTGGGACACCCTGTATATAAAATCCTTAAGTGACTGACATACTGATTAATCACGATCCTGCTCAAACCACTCAACGTAAGAAGCTCAATTTTGGCATACAGGTTGATTCTAGGGTTTAGAGGTTCGATAAGAAAGGATTTTTCGAAATTCCATTTCCAAGAGGGTGAAACCACCCCTCAAATATTACAATATTTTTTATTTAAAAAACGGTCAAGTTTCCGAAAAAACCCTTAAACACGTATATTTTATTTTGTTTTTTTACATATTTTAAGATTTTTTAAAAATGTATACATTTTTGTGGGTGTTTCGAAAAATCTGGTCATTGATTAATCACGATCCTGCTTAAAGGGCTTGACGTAAAAAGCTGATTTTTGGAAAACAGATTGACTTTAGGGTGTAGAGGTTCGATAAGAAGGGATTTTCGAAACTCGAATTCTAAGGGGGTGAAAATATCCCTCAAATATTAAAATATTTTTTTATTTAAATACCGGTGAGTTTTTCGGAAAAACTCTTAAACAGGTATATTTTATTTTGTTTTTTTACATATTTTAAGATTTTTTAAAAATGTATACAGGGTGTTTCGAAAAATCTGGTCATTGATTAATCACGATCCTGCTTAAAGCGCTTAACGTAAAAAGCTGATTTTTGGAAAACAGATTGACTTTAGGGTGTAGAGGTTCGATAAGAAGGGATTTTCGAAACTCGAATTCTAAGGGGGTGAAACTATCCCTCAAATATTAAAATATTTTTTATTTAAAAACCGGTGAGTTTTTCGGAAAAACTCTTAAACACGTATATTTTATTTTGTTGTTTTACATATTTTAAGATTTTTTATAAATTTATACAGGGTGTTTCATAAAATATGACCACTGAGTAATCACGATTCTGCTTAAACTGCTTGACGTTTAAAGCTGATTTTTGGCAAACGGATTGAGTGTGGGGTGTAGAGGTTCGATAAGGAGGGGTTTCTCGAATCTCAAATTCCAAGAGGGTGAAAACGCCCCTCAAATATTGCTTACAATATTTGTTATTTAAAAAACGGTTAGTCTTTCGGGAAAACGCTTGGACAGACTAGATAATTTATTTTGTTTTTTTACATATTTTGAAATTTTTTAAAAAATCATACAGGGTGTTCCAAAAAGTTGAGTAATTTCTTAACCACGATTCTGCTCCAGTTTGCATCTTAATGGAAATTCTTGCTTTGCTTTATCATCACCATTACAAATGATTAATTCGACGCGAACGAAGTCGCGGGTACACGCTAGTAAAGACATATAATAACCCTTTTTAGTAGATACTATATACAAAATTCCGCCACCGTAAAAATTTTTTTTGTTTGATGTTTCATAACTTTCTATTTTGTAATCCGATTTTTCTGATTATTGTATCAATGTGAAGATAAATTTATTGGTATTATTTTTTATTATTTTAATGACTTATATTCTTCGGTTATGTGGGTTTATACCGGGGTAAATCAAAACGTTGTTTTTTATAATATATTCAAAACACCCTGTGGGAAAAATGAGACCGGCATTTTGGATAAAAACACTTTTCTGGAATCTTAGGTGTATTCCTAACATTTAATTTTTTGAATTATTCCATTATCTCTATTCTTTTATGAACTACACATTTTTAACTAAAGTTTTGAGTTGTGCTTGGGAAGTTTATATTATAATAGTATTGCTCTAGTTATCGTTATATAGAAAGTCTAAAATAATTTATCAGGGCAATACTATTCTAAAATTTACTTTCTTTTGCATTTATTAGGCGTTAAAACGTTCATATAACGGCTGATAAATATTTATAAGTAATAAGCACACTAATAATAACATTTATATACATTACTACAAATTCCTTTACGGAATTATAATTGCCGGCGTATATTCAAATTACATCTCGCCGAGGTCGACTAGAAAGATTTTTCTCTATACAGAGGTTGTAAAATGTGAAATTTCCTTCCACGCTATAT